TAGGGAAAGGAAGAATTGAGTGTACCATTTTTAGTATTTTTGCACTCTACATGAAGTGGCATAATATTATGCATTGAGAATTATAATCTAAAAATCTGAAATCCAAAATGTCCCAAAAATTGAAACTTTTAGAGTGCCAACATGATGTTTAAAAGAAATGCTTATTGGAACATTTTAGATTTCAGATTTTTGGATTTAAGAATGCCAAACTGGTAAATACAATGCAAATTTTCTAAAATCCAAAAATATCTTAAAGCTGAAACACTTCTAGTCCCAAGCATTTTGGATAAGGGATGCTCAACCTGTTTTTGAAGGCAGACTGTGATTAATTAACATTATATATTGTAAACTCCTAGAAAACCACTAAAACTTTTAAAAGAGGTAAACATAAGCTGATAGTGAAGAAAAAAATGGAATCACAAAAAATACTCAATTCAAAAACATAGACATAATTAAAAAAGCAAGCAATATGACCCAGCAGTTCCTCTACTGGGAATATACCTGGAGGAACTCAAATCATTCTACAAAAAAGATACCTGCACACATGTTTGTTGCAGCTCTATTCACAATAGCAAAAGCATAGAACCAACCATGTTGTCCATCGAAGCTGGACTGGATTAAAAAAAAAATGTGATACATATACACAGCGGAATATTATGCAGCCATAAAGAAGGACAGACATATGGACGTGTCAGCAACTTGGATGGATTTAGAGTCGATCATACTTGGTGATCTATCACATAAACAAAGAACAGAGTACCATATGTTCTCGCTCATAAGTAGATTTTGAACAATTATTATAATACTATGGATTGGCAGTAGTGAGAAACTGTCAGGGGAGGAAGGGAGGGATTGATAGTTAGTGAAACTGCTAGGGAAGGGATGGGCATACCTCATCAACAAGGGTACCTGCATGATCAACATATGTATACCTAACCCTGAATTGTACCCCACATCTTTATAATCAAAAATTAATTAATTAAAAAGCAAACAAGAGGGAAAAGGGAACAAAAATAGATGGAACATAGTGAAAACACTAGCAAAATGGTAGATTTTAATTCAACTATGTTAATGATTATATTAAATGTAAATAGTCTAAACATCTTCATTAAAAAAGATTGTCCAGATTTGATTGAAAACACTGCTCAAAATAAATGCTATCTACAAGGTAAATATCTACCTAAATATAAAGGTAGATAGATTAAAAGTTAAGAAATGGAAAAAGATATACTGTGTAAATAACAATCTGAAGAAAACTGGAGTGACTATATTAGTATCTGGCAAAGTAGACTTCAGAACAAGGATTATTACCTGAGATAAAGAAGGATATTACCTTTTGGTGACTAGATCAGTTCACCAAAGACATAACAATTCTAAATATGTGTGAACATAACAATAGAACTTAATATATATATATATATATATATAAAGCAGAAGGGGTAGAACTGAAAGAAGAAAGAGTTAAATGAACAATTATAGTTGGAGGCTTCATACATTTTCATCTCTGAGTAATTGATAGAACAAGTAGAGAGAAATCAGTTAGGATAAAATACCTTGACAACACTATCAACTTACTTGACTTAATTGACAATGCACCACTCCACTGAATGCTAGCAGAATATGCATATTCAAGTATACATGGAGCATTCAGTTAGACCGTATTTGGTACCATAAAGCAAATACAAAATAATTAAAATCATACAAAGTATGTCCTTTCACCAAAACAGAAATAAACTAGGAGTCACAGAAAAATATCTTGAAAATTCCAACTATTTAGAAATTACACAGCATACATATAATAAACTATAAGTCAAAGAAGAAATAACAAGGCAGAATTGAAAATATTTTTAATTGAATGAAAGTGAAAATATAACGAAACACAAAGGGATACAAGGTTAGAGGGAAATTTATAGCATTTGATGCTTATGTAAGAAAAGAAGGCTCTCCAATTAATAATCTAATCTTGTGCCTTAATAAACTAGAAAAGAACAAATTGAACCCAAATCAAGCAGGATGGAAATAATAAAGGCCAGAAATCAGTGACATTGAAAATAGAAAGAGTAGAGGATATCAATGAAACCAAAATGGGGTTCCTTGGAAAAAAAAAAAAAGTCAGTAAAATTGATAAGCCTGTGGCCAGTCTGATTAAGTAATAAAAGATAAAGCCAGTATTAGAAATGAAAAGGGACATCACTACAAAGCCTACAGAAATTAAATTTATAGGATGGGTATAGTGGCTCACACCTGTAATCCTAGCTTCTTGGGAGGCTGAGGCAGGAGAACTGTTTGAGGCCAGGAGTTTGAGACTGTATAGCAACATATAGTGAGACCCTGTCTCTAGGAAAAAGAATTTTAAAAGAAATTAAAATTATAAAGTACTTTTAAGTAACATCATGGTAGTATGTCTCATGGGCACTGGAGGCAAATTGAAGAGAGTCCCATTGGCTGAATCTGGGACCACTTGAGCACCAAAATAATTATGTGCAGTAATTAATTATAGATTATTGAAAAACAAAAAAGAATTTGTGATTCCACATTGATAATAGATAGTTAATGGAGAAGAGAGTGCTCTTATTCAGAAAAGAATGCTGAGTGCTGACTAGTAATTACGGAGGGAATGTTGGTGTTAGATTATTATTTTGCAGACACTGAAGTAAAGATTGATTCAAACAAATCATCGATCAATGCTAAATCTAGAGAGAAATTTAGATGAGAAACAGGATGTAAGTATGCTCTTAAAGATGGATACCTTTAAGCCAGACTCGGTGGCTCAGTCTGTAATCCCGCGCCTTGGGAGGCTGAGGTGAGTGGATTGCCTGAGCCCGCGGGTTTGAGACCCGCCTGGGCAGCGGGACCTCATTTCTACAATAAATCAAAAAATCAGCCGGGCGTGGTAGCGCGTGCCTGTAATTCCGGCTACTCGGAAGGCTGAGGTGGAAGGATCACCGGAGCCCAGCAGGTGAGGCTGTGGTGGCCAGAAGCGGCCACTGCACTCCAGCCTGGGCGACAGAGTGAGACTCCAACTAAAAAAAAAAAAAAGATGGATATCTTTGCTTCCAGATAGAATATCCTTAGAAGGACACAGCACCAGTCATGTAGTAGATAGGCTGGTAATAAAAGCTTAAACAACCCTGTAGAGATTGAATACGCTATTGCCTCAGTATTATTACTTATATTGATGTGACTTTTAGAATTTAGGTTGATTTTTCTGAGGTACCTTCAAATACTTATTTCTCTGTCCGAGCCTAAATAACTATTATTCCAGAGGCTACCCCTGTAACCAGTAAGCACTTACCTCAATCAAACCAATTACTTTTAATAGAAAAATGAACCTTGTATGTTTTGGAGAGGTGGTACCAGTGTGATTTCCAAATCCTTAGTATTGACAAAGCCTGTGGAAAGTCATAGCCTCTCAGGTGACCCCTGTCTAGACCTGGATTTAGATCTACTCTTTTACTGTTTATATGAAAATCACTTCAGACATAGAGAAAAGTTACAAGAATAAGAATAATACTAAAAAGCACACCTTATTCTTTACTCAGATTTACCTATTTAGTTTTCCTTTTTGCCACTTTTTTTTTCTTGGTCATGTAACAACATGTTCTAAAGAGTCTTCAAAACTGAGGAAGGACACACACTTGTATTTTGAAGCCCAGGTCTGTATTGGGTCTTTATTTGTGGTTTGACTAGCACTGTTAGAGTTGAGGCAGCCTAATTTATCTGGGGTGAAAAATATTCCAGATTTCTGTAATGGTAGAAGAATTCATATGTCTTCTGATGAAAGTGCCTGGGAGTGCAGGGTGCCATCCTAAATGACTTATAAAATCATTAAGGTAAAGATTTGAGGAGGAATTATTTTGTGGGTTAAAGAAGATAAGTGGTGTTCATTGATTAAGGTCTTTTGAGGATCAAAGTTTCCAACTTAGCAATGGGTTGAGAAAGTTGCTTAGGTTGGTGGATTTAGTGCTGAGGTTCAAACTGTATCCTGGTCATTTAACCTACTTTCTGCTTCTCCCTGTGAGAGGTATGCACAAGAGCTTAGGGCATGCTTTCTTATTGGGTCACAGTTCTTAAAACTAACCTCCTTTGTAAGATGAGTTTAAACTTTAAGAGTTTACACTAAGTTGTAAAACAGTATGTCAAGATCTAAGATTGTCTGTTTTGTGGGCCCCTGAAGTTGTAATCAGACCTGGATTGTCAAGATCCTAAGAAGCAATTCTCAGAGTAGGAAGATGTAAGTTTTTATGATAACAGAAATGCGGGCTTCAAAACACAAAAATCATGCATATAAGCACAAATATTAATCATGAGAATGCTAAAATAAACTCTTAAAGAAAACTAAATGTCCTATCATAGAATTAGCATCTGAAAGTATCAGTTAAAATGTGGAATACTTCTATAATTCACTTTCATGGAGTTAAATTTTATACAACCATAACTCAGACTATCTGTCAACATGTAAAAATGCGTGTGACATAATATGGAAAAATCAGAATATACTTTTCTTGTACTGTGATTTTCACTAAAATACTGATATTTGCGAGAAAGATTAAAGTTTATAGAAATACTTATATTTAGGAACTATGTTATAGTAGTCAAAATGCAGGTGATTTTTTTTTCTCTACTTTTTATATTTTCAGTAGTGTTGTTATATGGCATTTGTGGTTGGAAGAAAATTAACCACTCTTTTTTAAAAATGAAGTCTGGATTTTGAAATCTCATCATGGTTTTCTTGGTCAGCAATCCAGAAATTTCTATAGGCAGAGAGTCTTAGGTGCCTTCTCTTTGGCTCCTGCTAGAGGTTGGATTTGTGTGAAAATTGGGTCAATAGGAAAGTTTATTCTTTCTAATTTCCCTAAAAGATGTCTGTACTCAATGCACTTTGCCTAACTTTTCATTTCACTCTCACAGTCTGGGGACTGGGCTTGGTGTCCTGTGCTGTGGTTGAACAGTCCTGTCTGCAGTGTTACACATGAATTGTCTCCTTCCTCTCTCTTTAGGAAGTACATTTTCAGCTGAGCATCTCAAACTTCAACTCCAGAAGGAATCCCTAAATGAGCTGAGAAAGGAGTGTACTGCAAAAAGGTAAATGCACCGCTGAGAATCATTGCTATGAGTGTTCAGTTTACTGTGAGGATACATTTGGAAAAGTAGCATTCTTCTTTAAACACTGATGATATTAATTTATATTTCATACACTTCAGTGCCACATTCATTTATTCAACAAATATTCATTAAGCACCTACTATGTGTCATGTACTGTGCTAGAAGCTAGTTATGAAAGTTCCTAGTATGTGGTCATAATGAGAAACATGAATGCTGTTCGAGTTTCCTAGGCCACAGCACCCTGGCTTAATGTTTGAATCTCCTCCTCCTGTCTGCTACATGCAGTTTAGCTTATAATTTCCTTTCAGTAATTTCTCTAGACTTACTCCTGCTTTATGTTAGATCATTGAGATTAACCTAAGGAGCTCCTAGCTTATCTCTCTAACATTAATCTATCTTTCCAGTTCATCCTCCATGCTGCCATCAGACCTCTCCTCTTAAAATACCATTTTTACCTTATTTTTTGACTTCTTAATATGGTGATTCTTTTGCCTAATTTTCAAACAGCCTTTAATAAATTGGTACTGTATAACTGTGGTTAATCTTAGTTGCTCCCCAAACATTCATTCAACAAATTCTGGTAGTTTTTATTTTTCCAACACATGCTCGGTTCATTACCACCTCTGTTCTTTAGCTCACCTTCACTCACTTCTCCTGGAAAGTTATTCCATCTTGCAACTGTCTTCAAGAAACCTTAGCAATTGAGGATTCAAGAATGTTAGACCTGGTATGGAGAAAAGGGAACGCTTTTACACTGTTGGTGGGAAGGCAGACTAGTTTAATCTCTATAGAAAGCAATGTGGCAATTCCTAAAAGAACTAAAAATTGATCTTCCATAAGATCCAGCAGTCCCTCTGCTGGGAATATACCCAGAGGAACATAAATCATTCTACCACGAAGACACCTGCATATGCATATTCACAATAGCAAAAGCATGGAACCAACCCTACTGCACATTGAAAGTGGATTGGATAAAGAAAACTTGGTACATATACAGAGTGGAGTATTACACAACCATAAAGAAGAACAAAATTATGGAATCTGAAGCAAATTGGGTGGAGTTGGAGACCATCATACTTAGCGTTCTATCACAGAAACAAAGAACTGAATACCACATATTCTCACTCATAAATGGAACCTGAATATTAACTACATTAGCACAAGGGAGGGATTGGCAGTCGCTGGCCACTGCCAGGGGAGGGGAGGGGCGCTTAACAACATAAGGGGTACCTAATACTATACCACAGGGAATAAGGGCCAGTTGGAGGGCCAAACTTTACCTTCATGCAGCCTACTTGTGTAATTAATCCTTACTTGTACCCCACATCTCTATAAGAAAGTTTAATTGTAAAAAAAAGAATGTTAGAGCTGGAAAGAACATAGAGATTATCTATTATAATTCCCTCAGTTTGCAGATAGGAAAGCAAGACTGTGGGAAGTCACTATCCAGCTCACTAGCAAATCCAGGACTGGACTCCATTATATCTTCAGTGCTGTTTTAGATAGGAAAAACAAAAGTGTTTTTCTTACTCTGGCATGCCTCTCAACCCAACACTTTTGACACTAGGTCCTTCAGCAGACACTCGTTGTATGTCTTATGATTTAATACATTTTGGACACTACCTGGAGAGTCTCAGGTCCTACAGGTTAAGTGCTTAGTTCCACAAGACCGCTGTCCTACCACATCAGATGTCAATTGTAAGCCCCAGGTCGTGAGCTGTGCTGCTGCTTGACCTGCTTAGGATATGGGGTCCCATAATCCCTGCCTTGGGTTTGAGTAATTTGCTAGAGTGGCTCACAGAGCTCAGGGAAGCATTTACTTAATGTTTACTTGTTTATGATAAAGGCTATTACAGAGGATACGGCTAAACAAACAGCTAGATGGAATAGATGCATAGGGCAAGGAATAGGGGAGGGGCACAGAACTTCCATGCCTTCTCTGTGCACACCCTCCTCCAACTGCCTCCGGTCTGGGAGCTAACCAAATCTTGTAGTTCAAGAGTCTTAGGAGTTTTTGACCTCCAACCCTCCACCAGCCCTCTTCTCACAGGTTCGTGTGTGGGGCTGCAAATTCCAGCCCTATAATTGCTTTGCTTCTCTAGTGGCCAGTTCCATCCTGAGACTGTCTAGGAGTCCGATCCTAGATCATTTCATTAGCATAAACTCTGGTATGATCCAAAGGTGCTCATAAAGAATAGCAAAAGACACACTAATCCCTCAGGAAATTTTAAGGGGTTTAGATACTCCTTGCTAGGAATCAGGAATAAAACCCATATATATGTCATATGACAATGCTCTTTGCATTATACAACTTCTTAATTCTACTCCGACCTACAGTTTCTCCAAATTCCTCTTGTTCTTAAATTGTTGACACAATTAAGCAGGTAGTTTATTTTATGGATATTTTATCTATTGCTCATATTTCTTAAATAGTTTAAGAGAAGAGCTGGGTCATCTCTTGCTACAGCTTCTTATTTTGTTATTTTTCTTACTTTGCAACTGGTTGTTTTTTGAGATAATTTTCGTGTGAAAGAATACTTTTGAGAAAATACCATATGGATCTTTCCTGAAATCAAATTGGCCTCATTAAATATTGGCTGTGAAATCTTGGTCAGATTACTCAGCTTCTCTAAATCTTGTTTCTTTGTTTATAAATGGGTATATAATCATATCAGCCTACTAGAGTTGTAACAATTGAATAGAGCCATTTGTAGGTGCTCAGTGAATGATTATCTGTTTCCATTGCATCTCTCATCAAGGTGCAAGGCATACACAGTGGCCTTGGTTAACTTGAATGAAACTACTTGGAGATAGTTCAAGATTCATGGTAGCTACTGTTCTTGCCTCTCCTTCTGGGTTTCTGTGGCCTACTACAGACCATTTAATCTTTATTTATGTGGCACTAAGTGTTAGAAAACATGAAAGCGTATTTCTTAAGTAAATGTACTTTCTTTCTTTCCTCATTAGAGAACTCTTTCTGAAGACCAATGCTCAATTGACAATTCGTTGCAGGCAGTTACTCTCTGAGCTTTCCTACATTTACCCTATTGATTTGGTAAGTTGTAAGCTTTGCATTTTCTGAAATAATTTTACTTTTTGAAACGATAATTTTTGTTTGAAATTTGCTCTCAGTGAAAAAGCTCATTGCTCTGGTCATAATCACATGCACTGTCATCATTCTTTCAGGAGCTAATACCTATTTTAAAAGTAGATTTAGACTTGATTGGCCCTAGGTTCCACAATTTTAGTCTTTATATCAATTTGATGGTGGGAAGCACCCATCATCTGAAAGAATGTCAAGTCATTTTTTATTTCTTTAGGATCCTTTTACTCAAATTATCCCCTCTCACTATTTCTGACACATATATACACCACTTTTTTTTTTTTTTTTGAGTTGGAGTCTCAATCTGTCGCCCGGACTGGAGTGCAGTGTCCACTTCCGGCCACCGCAGCCTCGGCCTGCTGGGCTCTGGCAATCCTTACACCTCAGCCTTCCAAGTAGCTGGAATTACAGGCATGCGCTACCACGCCCGGCTGATTTTTTGGTTTACTGTAGAGATGAGGTCTCGCTGCCCAGGCGGGTCTCGATCCCGCGGGCTCAGGCAATCCACTCACCTCAGCCTCCCAAAGGCGCGGGATTACAGGCTGAGCCACCGAGCCCGGCTTACACCGCTTTTAAAATATAATTGTTGGGCAGGGAAGCAGACTCATGCCTACAATCCCAGCACTTTGGGAGGCTGAGGCAGAAGGATTGCTTGAGCCCAGGAGTTTGAGACCAGCCTCAGCAACATAGTGAGACCTCATCTCTACAAGAAATCAAAAGAATTAGCTAGGCATGGTCTTGTACTAGCTACTTAGGAGTAGCTACTTAGGAGGCTGCACCCAGGAGATTAGACTGTAGTAAGCTGTGAGCATGCCACTGCACTCCAGCCAGGGTGACGGAGTGAGACCCCAACTCAAAGAAAGAAAAACATATAATTGCTAATTATACATTTATTAGTGTTACTTAAGATAGTCCTGGGATAACTGACAGGATGTTAAGTTTTTGAACCTAATCTAATGTCTTAGAATAAATGCAAAAAGTAAAACTTCTGTAAAAATGGATTAGTATTCTTCTTTAGAGAACCAAATCTGCTAAATTTGATGGATTTCTTTTTAATGAAAAGAGGTTTAAAACACTAATTTTAAGAGAAAGAAGTTAATAGGATTTCAGTTTGCTTCCAGAATCTTATTAAATCATTTATAGATGTGACTTAGCCAAAGATATTTTTATGATGATAACTTTACATGGCTTTTTCCTTGGACATGATGGCTTAGATGTTTTTATTATAGAAAATTTCAAATGTATATATATGTATGAGAGAGTATAATGAATCATCTTGTATTCCTTATCCAGCTTTAATAATTAGGATAATATTTTGGGTTTAGGATGGTATTATTGTTTTTGTGTCAACAACAACCTGCTGAGTTTTTTGAAATTTGACTTAGAGTTTATTTACTTTAAATATAAGAAGAATTAATTTCATTCTTTGGTTAAATTCACAGAATGAGCATAAGGATTACTTTGTATGTGGTGTCAAGTTGCCTAATTCTGAGGACTTCCAAGGTAGTATTTTCTTTGTTTACTTCAAAAGATGTGGTGTATATAAAGAATACATATATATATATATAAAATATATATTCCCATATATATAAAATATATATGGGAATAGAGTTGTTTTGAAATGTTGGTTGCCTAGTACTTTATCCAGAAGGATTTTGGACCTTCTAGCCCTTCCCAGTTGCAAGTATGTAGGTTAGATTCCCTGATGGGAGACATAAGAGAATGTTTGGTCTGATCATAGAAAAATAATTATTGAGCTTTATATTTGAAATTTAAAAGAAAATAGATTTGCTTTAAGCAAATAAGGAAGTAGGGTTTTTAAGAACTATCAATAATCTCCCTGTCCTTATGTTTTGATTTTTTGTCTTGAAAAATTTGTGTGGTTGGGAGCAGAGGAACACTAAACACTAATCTTTTTTTTATTATTTAGAAAGTCACATTCTTGTTGACCTGAAAAGTGTTTGAAAATTTAATTTGGCACCACTCCCACTGCTACAGGTTTAATTTGTTATACCATTATTTCTCTTCTCTTCTGACAAAACAGTTACATTAAAGGTATTATAGAATATGATTTGTAATAATTTCTACATTTTAAAATCTTTTATTTTTCCTATAGACATTTGCAGATATTCCAAAGAATCATTTTCTTTGGTATATCGGTAAACAGATTGTTTTTATTGTTAGCAAAGTTCTTTTCCCTTAGCCTGAATGATACTTTGAGGCCTACAATATTGTGATATATTTATAGATTATTCCCAAAGCCAGAATATTATCTATTTGGAAAGAAGTTATTCAAGAAGAGAGCATTGCTAGTTTTGATTGGGACTTTCTTCTGGTTTTCAAAAAGAAACGATTGTTATTGGTAGTCCTTTAACACTTAATACTATTTTAATCCATTACGTCCTTGGGCCCTTACCAGTAGGTTGTTGGGCATGATAAAAGGAGAGCCATAAACCAGGAGTTGGAAAACCTGTGTTCAAGTTCTAGTTCCTCTTCTGTAAACCATATAATTTGGAGCAAGTCATGTGACCTTTGAGTTGATTTCCTAATTGATAGTATGAACATATTAATTTATGTCCTACCTGTTTTACAAGATTGTTGTGAAGATTAAGTGAGGCATACCATTATCTATAAAAGCATGAGATTTTGCCTTGTCTTTAATTCTCACAAAAACCAACAAAGGAGCCCTATCAGGAAAGTGATATTCATTGACCTGCTTGAGACCACAAAGCTATGTAATGATATAGCTGGGATTTGTCTGGTTTCCATTTCATAGTGCTCCCTCAAGTCTCTATAATATAGTCACAGAAATGTGCTTGTGTTTGATGTCTTGAAGCTACTGCACATATGTGCATCCAATCATCGACTAAACATATTGAGCCCTTTGAGTCCCGTAACAGGTTTGGGATACAGAATGTCATTCTTTGAAAAAATACCTATTGGACACCTATATGCCAAGCACTGTGCAGGGTTTTGAGGCTACAATGATGAAGAAAACAAACATGTTCTCTCCTTCCATGGTGCTTATTGAAGGAGACAGCCAATAAACAAGACAATAAGTAATTAGCAAGTATTTAATAAAGGAATACACTATCGTAGAGATTGAAGGAAACTACTTTAGATAAAACTGTCAGAGAAGACAGAAGGGGCAGTGAGTACTAAGGTCTTGATGAGGCAGGAATGGGCTTGGCATATCTGGGAAAGCTCAAGGTTGGGGGATGGGAGAAAAGACTTGTATTTTGGGTAAATCACATAATCTCTGAGCTTCATTTCTTTAGTTATAAAATGAGTTAAGATCTATATCTCTAACTTGTGGTGATCAAATGAGAAAACATTTGAAAGAGCTTCTTAAGGATGAAGGGGACCCCCCAGCAACCAGAATTTATTTATTAAAAAATTGTGTATTTATTCTTACATGTTTAAACTTCCGGTCACCTTTAAAATACTCTCCATTTGATGCAGTACACCTGTGGAGACACTTTTTCCACTGCCCAGAACAGTTTTTGATGCCTTTTAGTGCTTCTGCTGTTTTTTGTTTCACCTCTTCCACATCGGCAAAACGTTTCCCTTTGAGGACTTTTTTCTTCAAGGAAACAAAAAAAAGCTGCTCAGGGTGAGATTGGGTGAACAGGGAGGGTGGGGCACGGGACACATGCTGTTTTGGGTCAAAATCTGCTTGAACACTCAGTGCAGTGTGGGCAGTTGCACTCGTAAATCACCCATCATGAAATGGGCAATCACATTGAAAGAATCTCCAAAAAAAATTCACTGAAGCCGAAGGCAGCCTCTCATATCAACACTAGCTGTTACACTTGATGCTGATGGGTTCCTAGAACACTTACCTAGCAGGGGAAGCATGTGCTACACGGGGCCCACCCTCCAAAAGCTAATTCCAGTTTTCTGGGAGTCCCCCCTCATACAAGGTACTCAATAAATATAATTGGAATTAGTTGCAAAAGAGAGAGGACAGAAGGAAGGACAGGAAAGACTGACCTGCACAGCTGAGCATAGTGAACAAGGGGAAGAGTTATATCCGAGAAGATGGGGAGGGCAGTCAGGGCTTTGAGGCTACAGTGAGGAGTTGGTATTTTGTTCTTGGGGAACTGCGAAATGCCTGAAGGGCTTCAAGAAGAGGGATGGCATGAGCTGAGTTAGGCTTTTCAAAGTCACTCTGGCTGCTTATTACAAAATGGGTTGAAGGAAGGCAAGCAGGAATATCAGGAGTGGCAAGGCAGTCTGTTACCTTAGTCTACCCTGGATGTTTCTTGATTTTGTATACTTTTCTTTTTAAGTTCCTTGTTTCCTAGTTTTTCATAGTACTTAGAGTACCTATTAAGCTGAATATATTCTCTCTACCCTTTGAAAAATTAGTGTCGCTTCTTATTGCTGTTGCTGAAAGAGGAAATGTGAGATAAAACGACAGAAATGTTTATTTTTCCTCTAAGGTGTTATTCACTCTCCATGACCCCTAGGAATCAGAAACTTTAAGAAGCACATATTGGAGTATTGGACTTTAAAAATCTTATGTTTGCATTCTGCAAGGCATGTCCATATACTAAGTGTATTAAGGGCCATGTGCACATCATCTGCTGTGTCTGGTGCTGAGAGTATGCAGAGATGATGAAGACACTGATCCTACCACCATGAGATTACAGTCCATTTGAGGGAGTCGGAATTGGAGTCAAGCCAGTCAAGAAATATTTATAGCCAGGTGCAGTGTCTCACGCCTGTAATCCTAGCACTTTGGGAGGCCGAGGCGAGAGGAGGATTGCCTGAGCTTAGGGGTTGGAAACCAGCCTGAGCAACTTGGCAAGACCTTGTCTCTACAGTAGACCAAAAAAATTAGCCGGACGTGGTGGCACATGCATGCCTGTGTTTCCAGCTACTTGGAAGGCTGAGGTGGAAGAATCACCTGAGCCCTGCAGATGGAGGTGGTGGCTGTGAGTGTGCCACTGCACTCCAGCCTGGGCGACAGAGTGAGACTCCGACTCAAAAAAAAAAAGAAAAGAAATATTTACTGAATTCATGCTTTGTATCAGGTGCTTAGAGGTTTATACCAGGTACAAGGAACTCAAAGAAGCAGAGATACTCAGAACTATCAGGAAAACCTTTAGAGAGAAGATGATGCTTGCACTGCCTTAAAAGATGACATGGTGTTTCCCTGTAGAAAGAAATATGGGAGGATATTTTAGGTTGGGAAGTAGAAATATGGCAACATGGAACATCACACATGACGTTGTCACATTTATAACTTTAATTCTCACAGCTATGAGAATTAATTCCTTCTGTGAGGAAAGGAGTTACCCTCAATTTTTTTTTTAATAAGAAGATTGAGACTCAGATTAGTTTTTCCAAGGAGTCATATTAGCCAGTGGTAAAGCTAAGGTTATCCCTGGTCTGCCTGATTCTCAGGCTCATGTTCTTGTCATGATGTGATTTTCTCCCTTGCTTTGAATGATAACCTCTCTAAACCTCTGACAACCTTTTAGTATTCCGTGCCAGCTGCTTTCTGGGAGAGATGCTAGTGAGGAACTGCAAACTAGTTATCCTATGATATTCATGAGACTTTGCTGGGATAGACTTTTTGTATTGCATGGGTTGATACTGTTTGGGAAAACTCCATGGTGCCCAAGCTTTATTGTATTTTTCTAAATGGGTAAGTTACTGTTAGAGTATGCCAAAGAAACCTGGACAAAATGGGGGGAAATTGTACAATGAAGGGTGTTCATCTGAGTTCCATCGACTGAGACATTTAGCTTAAAAAAATGTTTGTGCGTGTGTGTTTTTAAGTAATCCATAACACGAGAGCCTTTTGTGGTAATGAGACCCAGATTTCCTTCTGTGTCTGTATCCCTTTATGCAGGCATGATTTCTTGGAAAGGAGAGTCCATATGTCAAACAGTGTCTCATTGAGAACATGGAATGATTCCATAGATGCTGTGGCAGTGATTAGAGTCTTAAATATTTTGTCCTGTCTGGATCAGTGGGTGCTTGATTCCTTAACAAATCAGCTGCCTCAGTGATTGGGAAGGCAGGATGGTAAGAGCTTTTAGATCACTTATTGTACTTGGATGCATTTGAATATTAATAGTTTGTCCAACATATAAATCAAAGGAGTATTTGAATTAATTTATAATGTTGTCATGGCCATTGTGTGTTTGTGGAATTTATTGCCATAAAAATTACACAAAAGCTGCAGCCTTGAGCGGCTACCTACGTTTAAAAAAGAAATCAGAAGTATTTATAATGGAGAAACTGCAGGTTTTTATTTTATTGTTAAGCCTCTTATAACTTTCTTTGCATTAGCGTATTTTTCTTATATCTGAATTTTACAATTCATTCCGGTTTCTCCCTAGACCCTCTACTCCCCCTTCAACTTCTTACTAACAAAACTATCAGCTGTGACCTTTCTAACCCCCAGAACAGCATAGGGAACACAAGCCTCGGCTCTGCATTAGGTGTGAGGGACGTCATTAATGCTTACTGGAAAAGCACACCCCAGA